TGCCAAAGTGGCCACTGTCACAGGCAGCTCTCTCCTTTGCACTGCTCTGGATTGATTCAGCTCTGCCTCTAAGGCTTCTCCAGCTCTAGGTGACGATAATCACGCTGTCCTTGCCAAATGTGGTGGAACAAAATCCTGCCGGGGACCCTCCTAATGTCCCTTCATACCAAGCTCAACTTCACAGGGATCATGGTAGTAATTAATCACTGCTGAGCTCTGCTGGATTTAACCAAGAGACGTATTGTGAAAGACTTATTATCCATCATAAAACTTTTCAATTATTGCCTGACTTGCAGTCATTTACCTTCCATGCCATAATCTCTCAAGCCGTCAATTATTTTTACAGTGGAAGGTGTAGGACATAGTTGGAACAGCACATCACAAGCGTTGCTTTATCTACTGGGTTTGGCTCTAAGCTACTCATCAGCTCTTGTATTTATGTTGACTACAGAAGCTTAAATTGGCTGATTTGTGGAAAATAATAAATACAAAGATGAAATGCTTCTGATGAAGGTTTCAGTGCATTTATAAAATTTGTGCACTGATTCAGTTTTCTGTAAGGTTTGTCATTTTTAACCATGGGATATTTTGCTCCATGCAAAATAGCATCACACTGATTTAATTCAAGATGTTCTTTTAGACAGTGAAGGATCTTCTGAATTATTTTGAACTGCTATTGTAATGCTTAGTGGCTGATTAGTAACTTTGAGAGGCTAACCTCAGGTAAATTAATTATGTTCTCAAGTGGATAGGAAAAAAATCTGCTTTCATAAGAGCATATAATTCTTATTTACCTTTGTTCTGCCAATTTGTTGCATCGTGGCTGTCTGTGTCTCCCCTTCATTAGTCATCTTGTTGTACAACGTTAATGCTAGATTTCAAGAATTGTTGTTTGGCTTGTCAGCAGAGAGGGTCTTAACTAGGGAGAGCTATACAGCGGTGAAGAAAATTGGCTTTATGTAGGATGAAACGAAGGAATGGGGTCAAAGTGTGAATTAACAATTTTCCAAAATAAAGCAAAGAAATCTTGCTTTCTTTGCCACTTGTACTAGAATTGGGAGAAATGAGCATGACTATAAGAAATTCTACTTCTAATTGCTGTTTTAGCTGAGTATCAAATAGAAAATTGTTAAGAAACTTTAAACATAAGCAAACCTAATCTCCAAAACTCTCTTCTATAGAAGTACATCGTTGTTCACTGCTGCAGTTCAAAGTGGCAGGCATGAGGTGAAATATAAGCTTTCACTGAAATTTTGTATTTGTTCTTAATGGTTATTTCAAACAAAAGAGAGAAAGAAATCTTCAAATTTGGATTCAGCATACTTTATTTGCAACAAAAAAAGCCCAGACTGAACATTTTAGGGCTGCTACAGAGATGCTAATAATTGATTTAGTAATCTTTGTAGTCTGCCTTGAAGTTCAGGCTATGAAATAGTGCTGCCATTGACTAGCCAGGCTTCACCAGACCTTTTAGAAACCTTCTTGTCTTTTCATGTAAATAGACATTTGTCAGTATTTTTAAATGTATGCCCAGTAGATTTTTGTAATGCATTTCTTTTTTTTTTTTTTTTAATGTGTTTCTTGTTTAATTCAAACAAGCAGCTGACATGAAAGCTAAAGATAAAAGTGTAACATAGTACAATTAGTTCCTGTGAAGTCCGCAGATCACTAATGGAACACATCTCTTCCCCCGGCACGGCTGGCATAATACAGGCCATTTTTTGGTCATTTGTGTTGTACATTAAAAGCATCAAATAGAGTGCTGTCATGTGCCTGTGCGCATGGACATAAAGTTCTTCTGTTTGATAATGTTGGAAATCATTTCCCTTTCCAAATATGCAAATCGGTAATTGCTGCAATTGGATCAGAGACATGCAACACTTGTAATGTAACCTTTTATGTATTAAGAAAAATAACGCAGAAATGAGATCAGAGACCAGATATGTACATATAAACGAAAGGAATTTGAAGCTGTTTTTCTGTTTCTACCACCATTATTGTCTAAACCGTGTTTCATTAATGTGTGTTGTGATTTCATACCAACTAATTCTCCAGCTCTTTCTGATCCAATAAAAACAAGTTCAGGAATACAATTTAAGAACAATGTGCTGGGCTCGTGCACGAAGCCTCTAAGCCTTCCACGGAGCCTCTAAGAAGCAGGATTTGTGAACTTATTTAGTGCAAATGTTTTCTTGGAAAAAAACAATAGCATTTTGTGGGAGCAGAGTAGAAGTATCTATTGGCAGCAAACCTTTTTTCTCTTTATTGGTGCTCAGAGTATGGAATTCAGATACAGATTTGGTGCTGACTCCACCAGTTTCAGATGTCTCTGGTGCTCTAGTTTTTCGGAAAGCCAGCTTTAAGTTGCAAAATAGGAAACTCGATTTTTGTAGGACTTAGGAGAGCTGTGTCATATACTCCCTTTCCTACCCATTCGATACAGAACATATGGTTTCTTTTAAAATCATAGCATGTGTGAGGTTCTGTATTATTTAAGGTACAGGAGTATTTTTGTCTTATTATAGATTGACACCGTTTTAAAGCAGTATGGGGATGTAACAAAGTTACATGAGATATTGCACATCTTGACAATGCCACACAGTAATGAGAGTATTACAAACCTGCTTACAAGGCCCATTCATAGAACAAAGAAGTACAACAGATAGATGCCACATGCGGAGTCTGGCATATGTGGGGTGTGATCTGAGTTGTGAAGCCTCCTCTCCTTCCTTGATGGTTCATAAAAATGCCCAGTTCTCTATATTGTATTTACTGGTTCTAAGTTTTCTCTTGGATAAATAATAGGAGGTTGGGGGAAAATGTCCTGGCTGATTTTTAGGCAGAGAATGCAGGTGGTGTTTTTTCCTTTTTCTTTTTTTCTGCTGAAGAGTGCTTTAGCCACTGTTAAACAGTTCAGTTACAATCCAAAGTGATACTGCTAACATGGACTGGTAAACCACCTACAGCATTATTTCCCCTGTCAAAGACTTTCTACAACGTAAAAGCTAAAGGTATTCAGATTGAGCCTTTTCTCAGGACAATTTATAAACAAAAAGCTTTTCAAAATTGAGATTTATTTTCTTCCCTTACTGCCCTTTCTTTGCCACTGAATACAATACAATGAATCTTAAAGCACTCGCTTGTCTGCATGTCTTCACTTTTTGTCTTTACTGACTGTCACTTTTACTTCAGCTGCAAAAGTTCCAGGTTTGAAAAGTTAAGAATGGAATGAAAAAGGTGGGGGCAGGAGGAAATGTGAATCTAAAATCTGGGTATCATTGTCCTTGGTGCCAATAGAGTAGAAAAAAATAATGGAGAGGTTGAAGTAAAGGTAGGGAAAAAAAAAAAAAGCAGAAAAGGATAAATTGTCACATTTTGAAGAGAAAAAAAAAAAAAAAAAAGGAACATTAATTTGGACACTGTGAAAATTCTCATTTCGGGACTCCTTAGAAAAAAGACATTAAGAATTACATTTCCCCGTGACCATCTGCATTTAACAAAATATATTTTATTAAAATGGAAATGTTTAAAGGAAAGTATTTCTACTGTGGCTTCTGGCAGCAAAGACAGCAGCACGGCAAAAGCCCTATCTTCCATCAAGGTCTGCACCCAGATCTCCTGATTGCCACAGCCCAGGAAGGATAAATCTCAGATAGACAAGAAATGTGTGATAGGAGATGTCGGAGGCATTTGGATGAAGGAGGGAGTGTTGGAGCAGAGCAGAAGAGCTGGGAAGGGTGTTGGTGGGGGCAGAAGGGAGGACAGGAGGAAGCCGCTGAGTGGAGGAGAGCCGGCACCTCCGATGGATTTAAAGAGGTGAGGAATGACAGATGGACTTGGGAAAGGAACGCGTGTATTTGCAGAGGGCAGAAATGGGTCTGTTAATGAATTTTTTCATGCAGTGATTGAAGTACTAGTAATGGGAAAAAAAAAGCCAGTGGTGTTGACAGAGATTTCATTGGTGCAACGTGACCCTAGGGCATTTATGGAGCCTCTGTACCTCCGTCTCGGAGCTAAATTACTTCCCAGATGTAAGGCAAACAAGCGATCACTCAGACTGGCCTCCTATTCTTTATGGCTTCAATCCTCAATACTCATTCAGCAATAGGCAGCTGGTTCCGTTTTCTTGGTTTAGGGGTTCTGACACCAGTAAAAACAAAACAAAACAAAAACTTTTAATCTTCTAGCAATGAAATATACTGCCAAGTCAAATAAACGAGACCTGTTAGAGCACCCTCATTTTGTACAAGCCTTTTCTCTGCAAAGGCATGGTTGTTTGGGAAGAACCCCTGAAATTGCTGGGGGAGGGAGCTGTCTGGTTTAACATTTCAGTCCACGTGATAGTTTCTTTATCTACAAATCTCTTTCAGATCACAGACCCCTTGATGATTAGTCAGCCCCGATCCTTCCCCTACTTTACAGTTATTTTAACATCTCTGAAGAACTGCCAACATACCCACTTTAGCGGCCAATGGCTGTTACGCTGCTTTTTTTATTGGCATTCAATTTTAAGGGTTGACAGACAGTAAATACTGAGACTTCTCTTTACTGTTCTACAGTAATTTGTCCTACAGTTGTAAACAAGTCGCTCTTTTCCTGCCTTCTGGTAAACAAAACTCACCATTTTTGGAGGAGACTGAGCAAACAGAAGATTGTCCCATTTTAGATAAGCTGTGACTGTCTGAATGGATATTGCCATGCATGTTTATTTATTTATTTATTTTCAAGGCAAAAGAAACAACTTATTTCTGAAAGTACTTGGTTTTGTGGTTTGTTTTTTTTGTTGTTAAATGGTGGCTCTATTAAATTTCCAGAAATAAATATTTTTTAAATATTGTATTTTCTAAGTAGATATGCCATGCAAGCCTAGAGGAAAGTGATATTTAAAGATATCCTCTTGGACTGTAACAAACAAACAAGCAAGCTTCTAGTTATGAGAAACAGTGATTATTCCAAATTATCTTAACACTTTTATTTTGTATTTTCTCTCTCTCTGGTAGGCACCTTGCATTTCCAAGACTGAAAATCAGCCTCAAGGACTTGCAACTAGCGTTAGGTGGGGACAGACACCCATCAATCAGTCTACACCCTGGGACACTGATGAGCCACCCTCTAAACAGATGAGGGAGAATGAAAACCCAGGTATGTTTTTAATCTTATTTGTAATTCGACAAGGGAGAGTCATTCAAAGCAAATTCAATGCACTATCCCCATTTACCTCTGTAAATTAGACTTCATTGTGAGCCCTTTCTGTATTCTTTAGCAGGGTTTTTCTCTCATTGTAAAGACCCCTCAAGTTTCTTCTGTGCTGGGGCTAATATAAATGTATTAAGATGCCTGCAAGTTCATTAAAGTGTTTTTTTTTCCCCTTCCTTCTTTGCCTCCACTAGAGTAAAAGGCACTCTGTAATACTTTAAGACCTCTTTTATGTCCAGAACTACCTGAAATGATTTCCAGCTTCCAGACACATATCATACATTGTGCTACTATGCCAGACACCTAATTACAATCTCTTTGTAGTGGCTGGAGCACCATTATTATACACACAGAGTGTTTGTCAGGGAGCCATGAAAGCACGGTGGGGAAAGAGGTTAATTTTCTTGGAAGCGTGTGCTTAAGCTGCGTAAAGCGCAAAACACATAAAACCGTAAACATGCTGCATGTCACCTGATGAGTATTTTAACAATTGCACTCACATCGCTGTAGCAATTTTATGCACTTATTGGGTTGGAAGAGTTCCAGATCCCGAGCCGCTTTCGATACCGTGAAGGATAAGAGCGTGGCTCGGTGGTGCTTCGGGCAGACGCGGGAGCGTGACGGGCAGGCTTGGGGCGGTTTTGTTCTGGTCTCCCCCTCGGTGCCGAGCCCGCTACCATTGCCAGCCTTCCTTCATGCCGCAGGTGCAGCGCCCTGGGTCACCACGGTGGCGGCCGGCAGCCAGCCCGCCCTCATCACCCACTCCTACGGGATGACGCAGCCGCCCACCTTCAGCCCGGCCGCCAACGTCCAAGCCCCTGTCATCGGCGTCACACCTTCCCTCCCTCCGCACGTCACCCCCCAGCTCCCGCTGATGCCGGCTCACTACCAGCTCCAGCCGCAGCCCTCCCAGCCCCTCAGCAACATGGTGGTCAACCTCCAGAGCCAGCCCTTGTACACCAACAGCCAGCCCCTCAGCATGCCCTCCATGAGCGGCGTGGGCCCGGTGGCCCACCCGGGCCCCGGGGCGGTGGGCAATGGCCACCTGGCTTGTCCCATGCTGCCACCACCGCCGCCAGCTCTGCCCTCGGCCGCCCTGCCCAGCAGCGCGCCCACCACCAACGGGCAGGCAGCCGCCCCGCTGCCCCCCAACACAGCGGGGGGCCCGGACAACACCAACAGGGTGCAGATGCTGCGGACAATTGGCGTGGGGAAGTACGAGTTCACGGACCCCTGGCACCCCAAAGGTAAGGCGGGCCGGCTCGGTCCCGCGGGGCGCGCGGGCACGGACGGCGGCGGGGCCGAGGATGGCGGCCACCCAGGGCTCCCCACCGCTCTCCTCGGGCCCGCCCGCCCGGCTCCAGCGTCTGTCTCTGGGCTTTTCTGTAATGCATAGCTTTGATGAATTAATGATGATGAAAAGTAGTGCTTTGGAAGGAGGGGGGACGAACTTCGGGTAGCTTTTATAGGGAAAAAGAGCTTTCAGGGCCCATCAAATAAGCTGGTGCTTATCTTATATGGAGACACATTAGGCAGCCGTCATCCCATGCCTCCTCTTAAACTGTATGTTTACAGTTTAATGTATGCTTATGTATGTACAGATCATGTTTACAGCAGGCCACTTTCTTTTTGGCTCCAGTTGTGCATCAGTCACAACACTAAACTTTTTCAGCTGTTGCCTTCTCCCCCACTTCAGAGCCAAAACCAAACTCAAGCAACCCTATTGACTGAAGCTGAACAACCCAAAATGTTCAGCGTTAGGGTAAAACTCTTCATTACCAGCTTCATTGGGCTCAAATGCCACAAAACACCATGAATTGTCAGGAGCATTCCTGAAAGGTTGACCTTTTCTGTTAAGTAGTTTCTAAATGAGCCACGTTGTTGGGTCATGGCGAAGTGTTATTTCCGAGTGTCTTACCCCAGACGCTTTAAAAATATCTGCTGTCTGTGCGCTTAGTTTCTAATTTCATTTGTGTAGTTTTCCCTGCTCCCTTGAAAATCATGACTGTGCCACTTGTGAAGGTAAAGGGAAATGCAGCTTACAAAAATATAAATGCAGACCTATCAGCAAAATCAATTAAATTGATTAAAAAAAAAACACCCCAAAGGCTTCATTAAGTCTGTGATATTTTATGTATACATTTGTATTCAGACACAATCCATGTGTAAATTATTTACTTGCCACAAGCTATTAAGTTCTGTTGTGTGGCTCTGTATTAAAGACAAGGAATCTCTATTAAAAATGATTAGTCCAATAACTCTTCCTGCTCATTACATAAATTGTACTTTGGTATGTGCAAATCTTTACCAAACGTCTCTTTAAAAAGAGTTAAGACAAAAGCTCAAAGTACTTTTCTAAAGCAAAATATTTGAACTGCTTTTAAATTCTCAGCTTTGAGCCCTGAATATGACTAGAACACCTGCAGGGGGGTGATCTGTTGAATTTTTCTTCTCAAGATCCTAGATGGGCTTTAAGTAATATGAGCCCTGGTGTATAGCCAAAAAATTACCAACAGTTGCTTTTTAAGAGTTTTGTTAATTCTTTCCCTTTAAAAGAAGTGAAAACCCTCAAAAGCAATTTGTCAGGTTAGGTTTATGAGTTACAAACCCTTGGTTTTGTAGAAGGAGGAAGGGCAGAGATTTATGCTCTAAGCTTGGTAGACTGAGCTGCTGGATGTCTCTTCTCTCCATAGAAGCTATTCGTCTTCTGAAGGCGTCATCTCCACTTTTCTTAGCCACCTATCCCAATTTACTGCACTGGATACTTGGATACATGATCAAATTAACACAATTTAAAGGATTACTTGGTGTCATCAGAGACGTGCAAATATACAATACAAGGAAAAACACATAAGCCTAAACCACTTTCACTGTGGTAATTTGATCACATATCTGAGCCCTAGTGACGCTAACCTAGTGAGACAAATGAGCATGTCAGTGACTGCACACTCGAGGTGAGGAATACTCTCAAATGCCTTGCATACTTTGGGCCAGTAGCATCAGCTGTTACGTACTCTTCCTCCATCAATTAACCTTCAGCGTATCTCTGGCTAGCAGGTGAAGCAAACTTCAAGTCAGAGTCTAAGTAAGAAGACAGTAAAATATTTAATCAGTCTTTTAATATTTGATTTGCAACATCTTAATCAGCATTCTTGCTTAAACTGCTGTAAACCCTAGTCCAGTCTGATTGTCCATGTGCCACTGAGCACTCAGGAAATGGAGCTTCTCTTGGCAGCATGAGAGGCAGCAGTCAGCTCACGAGGTGTTCGTTAAGGTGAGGGAGAGAGTTAATGAATATGCTGGGCATGCCAGACCTAGCTCTGGTCTGGTGTTTGGAAACCTTTGTACCTAGAAGAGGCTTATAAGGACAATATTGAAACGAGCCGTATTTCTAATCCACGACAACTGCTGACACACTAACCAGACTTTACCTCATAAATTGCAAGCTAGACAGCTGTTTTCGCAGGGATTTGCTAGCTTCTCTATTTATGACCACCAGCTCTTGAGTTATTCCTGGTCCTGGAGCAGTTAAAAACAAACATAAGATAATGAGCATGCATACACAAATGTCTCATAAGCAGGAGTTATTTCATAATGAAAAAGTCATCTCCTCCTAAGTCTTAAAAGCCCGTAATTCTAAAGCTATAATTCCTCTAGTCAGAGCTAATGTCAGAGAAGGTAAAAGTTGGACTTTGTTGCTTTTTAAACAACCTTCAAATGAGAGGGAAAGAATCAGGATAGAGCAGACAACTAGATGTCTAACCAGACCTTAAAACCTTGCTAGGATAAGATTCTTAATATAAACATTATGAATTTCAATGTGACTCGATTTTCTTTCTTTTTTTTTTTGTTTTTTTGTTTTGTTTTAATTTCTGCCCTTTGGGATTTCAGCCTCTAAAGCCCAACTGATTTCACAGTCTTACATGATAGACAGCTTTCTCTCTGGGAAGAAATGGAGGCTATAAGAAAGTGCTGAGCTGTTCAAATATACAAGTTCAAACTAGTTCTCTGCTAGTTTCATTTAAATATATTCTCTTTCTTTCTTGGGGAATCTTGGCCACTATTATAATAGGAGCCACTGCTAATGGCCCTGAGATCTATCTCATTATCCTGAGATACTCTGTATTATTATTTGACTTGACAATCCAGTCTTGTACAGGTTTGAATAATTACCCAACTATCCCTTAAGTGAAAGAGCAGTACTTGCTAGTTAATATGATAGGATTTCTTATATTTCTTATATTTTTAGACTTTATTAGGGACCTGATATGAAACATCATGCTTAATTTCCCATATTTTTCACTTGGCTGTGTATACGTTGGGGCTGTATTATACTGTGTGCATTCAGAGCGAGGTTTCTTACTTGGCTGCCTCTAAATGAAAGTAAACAAATAACGTTGCCAAAAGTTAAAGGCACAGCTAGTATGCTGTCTCATTTGCAATAGGTCAAGAGATCTCGTTTACATGACTGAAAGAGTCAAGTCATTTCTGTGGCTTTGCAAATAATTTATTTTTGTAACAAGAAACATGGTATAAAACAGATAGGCCATTCTCTTTACTGTGTCACAGCTAATTCTCACCTAATTCCATTGAAACTATTCACAAGATTTTCTTGCATGGGTTACAGAATCTTCTTGGTCTGGATGGGTGATATTCTGCAATAGGATTCTTTATTGCTTCTATAATATGTTAAATATGAACATTAAGTTTAGCTGCATGATCCATTTACTTAGTGAATTTATAAAACAGTCACATTACGGGAGACATAAATAACGTTTCAAAGTAATTATTGCTTTTAGCAATGTGTGATGTTCTGTAGAGCTGCGTTATGAAATGCATGGGATCTTTCACCATACACAATCAACACCAGTTTTGAGGGGTCTCTGGTTTGGACTGTAATGGCCCTTTTGAAGATACTTCCTCGTGAAGATATTCAGTGAATATCCACGGAATTTCCCATAGCCAAATTTTTATGGTTTCTTTAGAAAAAAGTTGAGCAGCAAAGAATATTCAAATAGAATTTCTGTATCTTCAGGCTACATGATGTGCCAGCACAAGCTGCACTTGGCACAAGGTGCCTGTGCAGAGGGAAGAGGGAGAGAAACTGTCCCTTCAGTTTCTAACACAAGGTGCTAGTACCCCACAGTCATGGCGCAGTAATAGAGGGCAACGTCTACATGCCTGCCAGTCCATTTGAGCCAAGATGGAGAAAAGTTAATGTGTGATAAAGGACTAAAATTGAGTGGTACTCTTGCCGGAATAACTGATTATCTGAGATTTAGTCCTTGACTATTTTATAGGGTAGTATGGTTCTTTATATCCAAGACTTGTAGTAAATCCAAAATTGAACCCCTGGTTGATAGCCCTGCTGTGTGTAAGACACAAATGGTCCAGCTTGAACTCTGAGATCTGTCATATGCCTGAAAAAAGTCTTTCTTCATAAATTCAATCTACCTTGAAGCGTGGGTGCAAAATCAAAAACTGAGAAAAAATATTTTTATTGCAGTACTTTCTCCTGCAGTGTAAAATTAGCCATGGACATTTTGCGTTTTAATTTATGGATGTTCATGGATAACATTGATGTTTGTTTCCATAGTATTTTTTCTTCTTTATTTTTTTTGGTTTGCAGTCCTTAACTAGTGGGAAACGAAATCAGATGCTAATTAGTGTTCATACTGTAATGACTGTAGAAACATAACAGTATCAGAAATAAAATCTGAATGTTAATCCTTGTAACACTAATTTCTTAACACTTCATTTTCAAGCATCACCAAATACCATGAACTAAACGATAACAAAACTACAAACGAATACTGTTGCATCATCACTTATTGATTGCACCTTTCACACTTGACTTTATTGCATTGGAATTCTCATTAGACTTCAGACAATATTTACTTTCCTTAATCATGAATAGTAACAAGGCAGACAACAACATTTTTTCAATAACCATCAGCTTTTTTTTCACAAAAGGTTGAATTTTCAAAGGGACTTCAGCTTGACCTGCAATTCTGTGAGCGTACGTAGTTTTGCACATTAATGCAAGAGGAGGGGAGGGAAATTCAAAGTTCAAACTAGCATTTGGAATCCTAATGACATTTACTAAAGGATTTGGTGTGATAAAGGCTTTAGAAAGTTTGTTTTTAGTTCTCAGCCTTGCATCAGAATACATGGCCTGTGTAACCTTAGGAAAATCTCCCCTATTTTTGTATCCATACATATAGAGAGAGAAACAGTTTACATTCAG